ATTTCGGTTCCTCAAACAAGAACACTTACATCATAGTCAGATTGTTAACATTTTTTTTTGGGTTCATTTAGTTATTTAAATAAGTGATTCTCTAGTTATAATTGGAATATAAGGGATTATTTTATTTATTTTGGTTTATGTTTAACCAAACCAATATATTGATTTCGTCTATATATTCTTAAAGTTCTATTTAAGAATCAAAATCGTGACAGGTCTATAATGTAACAATACATGGATATAGACTTTTATTCATAAAATATGATGAGTGTAAGTGTCTATTAATTCAAACCATCTAATTAAACATACTTCATATGTGACTCCATAGTCATATATGTAAACAATAATGTAACTTTTTGGAATATTTACTTATACCAATTAATAACAAAACTACTCATTTCAATTTTTTTTTTCATGTATTTTATTTGAATTGTTATTATTTAGGTGGGAAATAAAGGAGGGGCTTAGGTGAGAATTGATGATGTAGACATGTCAAAGGTATTGTAAAATTGAGGGATCCTCATCTCATCATCCTTTTCCCCATATCCTTTACTCCACTATTCACTGTCCTTTGCTTGGCATCTAGGAAAAAATAAAAATAAAAATCTTTATTATTTTTTATATTTTAATTTAATGCTAGTGTGTGATTGTGAATAAGTCAGCTCTTGTAATTTATTGTTCCCTAACAATTAGGGTTCCATATGTGAGAATTTGTTAGATTGCCAATATCACACAATTGTCCATGTCCCAAATAATTTTGCAATGCCACTCAAGAGTATGTCCAAACAATGTGGTGCTACGCCGAAAAATGTGCGTATTTTATATGTATGTATGTTTATATGCCAAACTTTAGATGCATTTATTTTTTTTAATCAATTTAACATGTACTGCAAAGTTATGTAGGATTAATTCCTATCTTTTATGAACTATATGCATACGATTAAATAATTTTTTTTAGTTAGTGAAAAATTTATTCAACCTGTGACCAATGAGATTTGAGATTTTTAATCGTTGGATCAATACGTACCTATATGACTATATGAGTATGTGAGTGTGTTTGTTCGGTCGAAATTATTGGCGTGCTTGGAATAAATATATTTGCTCAAAATAGGTTTTTTTGTTAATCAAATGTAACTTTGAAAAAAGTATTATAGTTAGTTGTTAGTGAGATTTTGAGTTTATATTAATATTTAAAATAAAATAATTTTTAGGGCGTGCTTGGACTAACCTACTGAAGGTCTGAGACGATCCGACGAGCAACCGGAGACGCATTGATGAGGCCAAGTCCGGCTGCCCAACAGACTGTGGTTCAGATGATCTCCTACAGATGAAATCAGAAACGTCTCAGTGTCGGCAAAAATTTTAAACTGTAAGTCCTATCCTAACTATAGATTTCGCTGCGTTAGGATTTATTTTTCAAAAGATTTGAATGTGCACTTTGCCAACGTTCCTAATACAACCCAACAATAAAAGTAGGAGAGAGATTGTGTGAAGTGATAGTTAGTTAAAATTATGTGAATAAATGAATAGTGAATTAAAATTGATATGATGTATAAAATGAATGATTTGTATTATTTAATTATATTAGTAATATTGAAGATAGTGGAGTTGTGTTAAAGTTGAGTTAGATTTTGAGTATGAATTAAGTATGAATTGAGTTAATTTGTAAACAAACACACCCTTGTTAGATGGTATATTTTTTCTTGATTTGTGGAAATAAAATTCTTTTGATATATTGAGAGCTCTAATAACTGTGAATAATAGGAAATTTTTGCTTTTTGTGTGAGAAATCACGTACTTTTTGTTGTTAATGTCTACTCATGTGACATTCAGTTTCAGTTTCGATCCAAATCGAATTTTCGATTTCGATCAGTTCGGTTCGGTTAACTGAACTTTGTCTAAAAGCTGTCTTAGTGTTACATTACTATAGTATTTAGTTGCATCACTTTCAATTGAAATTGGAAAAAACGAGAATGATTGACGATTAAAATCCTCAATAATTTAACAAAACAATACCATCCCAGTACATGTTTTAGGGGGAAATTTTGACCTGTGCTACACGATTTTTAGATAATTGCAATATTACCATCCATACCAATTAAATTGTGTATATACCTAAAAGATAAATATTAATTATAATCATGCCTAAAATCAGTTACAAGGTAAGTGGAACAACCTTCCATGTTCCTAGCGCGTAATTTCAGGAAATCGGGCAAAGAGTACGAAATTTCACGAAATCTTCATCGCCTATATATATTGCTTTAACATATACTGCAAATATACTGTACATGTACCATAATACAAAAAAATTTGGTTCATTTATGGAATGATTATATCTCCAAAATAATATGAGCAGTTCAGATTGACATGTGCATCCCATAATTGTGTTTGGAGCATAGTTTTTAAACCCGGCCCGGTGATCGACCCGGGCAGGTCCTTGGGTCACCGGGTCAATTGCTGAACGGGATAATTAATTTTAAAATTTTTAAAATTATATAAAGAGTATTTTTGTTATATAAATATACATAAAAGTAACAAAATTAAATGTTTTGTGTATAAAATTTGTATATTAAAGTGTTAATAATATGTATCTCATGATAAATATTTACCATATAAACATATATACATATTTTTATTTTTAAAAAACAAAAATAAAATAAAAAAAATATAAAAAATATATATGGACCGGGTCAACCGGGTTGACCCGGCCGGGTCAATGCCCCGGGTCGGCCGGGTTTTGACCGGGTCCTTGGTTGCCCGGTCCAAATACTCCACCCGGACCGGTTTTGGCTCCGGGTCGACCGGGTCCCGGGTCGACCCGCCGGGCCGGTCCAGGTCTCAAAACACTGGTTTGGAGTGGGAAATCAGGTTTTCATGTAATAGAAGAACAAAAAAAAAAAAAATATAATAGATAGAGAGGTATATTTCTTGATCGGAATTATGTTTCCATGTTCATTTTTTTATTTTATATTTTTTGTTCTATCTTTGATCATTCATTAAATGGATTTTTTTAGTTTTAATTGGTATATGTATTGGTTTTTTTAATGGTATATATATAAATTTTTTTAATCATTTTTAATGATATATATATCATTTTTTAAGGATATATATGTCGTTTTTTCTTTAAACATTGCTCCTTTGAGAATATACCGAAAATATACTGAATATAAACCCTGACTTTAAATCAATAACGGTAGAATATACCGAGAATATACTGATAATATACCGTCGAACGTGTTCCTGTTAATGTCATGAGAAAATATACCGAAAAGATATTGATAATATACCGAAAATTTTTAACTATTACATAATATCGAACGTCTTCCTATTAATGTCATGAGAAAAAAAAATAGAAAACAGTGAAACATGACTAAAAATATACTGGAAATAAACCATACAATTTTCATTGAACAATAAAAACAAGAAAAAACTACAAAGTATAGACTCAAAAAATCAACTGAACACAAACTAAATGATACAAATAAACAATTCTCATTCCTCCCAAAAAACTAATAATATATTGAATAAAATCAATCTGATCGAAACAAACATTAGTCAACAAAAAATTTGCTAATATACTAAACATAAGCTATACATAAAACATAAAATAAACAATGGAAACAATCCCATCGAAAACTCTTCAAATGTCGTCGCTGCTCACAAGTAGGATTGTCGTCGGCTATTGTGACTCCGCCTTCCCGAGACGAGCCCACGGCCGTAGTTGCTCGTCTCCGAGTCAAGCAAACACTACCGGTCGAAAGCGAGGACACCCTTCGTCTCGTCACGCCGCCTTGTGCAACCTCCGTCAGTGTTCGACCCTCCGCCGCTAGTGCCCGATAAATCGCGCGAGCTCCCACCGCCCTTGGCTGAAGTTGGCCGTCCGATGACCCCGCCACTCACGAGCCGAAAGGAAGCCGAAATTACCTGACAGGATTTTTCAACAGTGGCCTTGTTGCAGAGGATCGACGAATTGGTTTTTTTCGAGTAGATCTGGTGATTTTTGTCTTTGCCATTGAAGGAGAAATTTCCTGCAGAAAGAGAGAGTTGAACGTGGGGCGGTGGGGTGATTTTGGAGAGAGAGAGAGAGGATATATATTGGTCCGATTGTTTTGGTAAGTATATATTTAATCTCAATTAATGATCTCAATTGCATTTAATTTGTCAAATTCCTTAACAAATGGTTACATATATTAGTCCACATCTTAGGTAAAATTGTAATATTTTTTGCTTGATATGGTAATTTTATAAATAAGAATATAATGGTTATATAAATGTAATATAAATCATATTTGAAGGTGGAGGGTGTAATTTCCTCTATTTTAGGACCCATCAGTCTGTAGAGCGTGCGACTTTGGGCTTTATGAACCCAATGACGACCATTGGGCTTGGTAAGCTATATGGGCTTGTGGAATAGGCCCATCCCAAGTAATCAACGGAGGCAGGAATAACTGGTTAAGGACTAGGCCCTGACAATTTATTTTTCTTCATTTATTAGGGTTGGCTGCTTATGAGGCCTATCTAATTAATGGAGTGAAATCAGTCTCGCAAAAAGGCCAATAAATGTATTAAATTAAAGAACAGCATTCCGTGAGATTGTAGACTTTTCCTATAATTACAGGCAGTTAATAAGAAAATTTGCCATTATTATGCACCTAATTCCTTCGAATTTATCAAGGAAAAACACAAGGACAAATAACTAGGGAGCAGAAATATGTGATATTGAGAAAGCGTAACTAGCGTATATGCCCCCATAATTTTGAACAAATAGTATACTACTATTTGTCATGTTATATTTCTANGCTTAAAAAACGACTTATCTCATAGACCTTTTGGTTTTTTTTTTTCGTGAAATTCGACCTCGGTTTAAGTGTTTTTACGCATTTTGACTTTTTTTAATACATTATATCGCTCCTTCTTAGATACTCTATAGTAACAATATCCCTCCTTCCAAACCTTTAGCGGCAAAAACTAAAAAGGACACACGCACACACAACACACACACACACACACAAATAAAAAAAAGAGAAAGAAAAGGAAAAACTTTATTTTCTTCCCTAAAATGCCCTCCATCTTATTCTATCTGACTCAGTCATTGACCTTGAAATTCTTGTTGCTCGTGAAGGTCTGGCTGAACAGCCAATTGACCGGCGCCACGTTGTTGGAGGTCAACGTGCGACCGTCACTGCCGGTGACCCTGAACGACAGGGCCTGGCCCACAAGGAGCTCGTCTGATTGCCAGTTTTGGCCCCAGTTGCGCTTCATGTCTATCCACTCCGTTTTCGCGCCCTTCACGCTCACGCGCACGATATCCCCTGCGCCTGCGACGTTGGTGATCAGTACCAAGTTGAAGTACCGGAAGCCGTTGATCGTGAACCTGATCCCGCCCTGCTTTCTGCACGGCACTCTGGAGAATAAAATAAACAGATATATTAAAGAGAACGGATTATCACTTATCAGCAATTAACTGAANACCGGCGGTAGGTGACAGGGACAATTCCGGCACGGTACTCGGCAATCTTGAGAAACATTGGCTGGGCGAGATCGAAGTGGGGTCGGGGCGGGTTGCACCACCCGCCGTTGTTGCTGGGCAGAGCGTAATTCGGCGGGCAGAAGTTGGTGGCCGTGATGAAGATGGACGGGATGCCCAAAGTGCACCATTGCGGGTCCTGGGCCGCGTCGCACTTGATCTCGAAGCACGCTCCACAACTCTGCCCGTTGCTGAACAGCGCCGTGCTAAGAGCCGCCGTGTTCACGCCGTAACCCTGGCTGTGTAGGTTTCCGTATCCGCACGCGCCCCCTTTTCCAAAATTTTGTGTGGGGGTAATTTGATTTGAAATATAGAGTTAATAATTAATTACCCTCTATTTAGATCGGTTTTGCTATGAAACTAACAGTTGGCTTCATAGTGGAGCCAACTTTCTATATACAATAAATAAATTTACCATACTCTCTGATAACTTAAATACACTAATATAATTTTATTAATATGGTAGGTTTATTTGTTGTATATAGAAGGTTGGCTCCATTATGGAGCCAACTGTTGGCTTCATAGCGAAACCGCTATTTAGATATTGGTTTTTCAACAACAATTTTTTCATTATCGTTAATTACTAACTTTTTTTTCCCTTCGCATAATATGTTATAAATGCAATTTTTTATCCACTGTAGCTATTAGCTCATAACGGATAACAAATAGTTAATTGTATTAGCGGATAACTGATAACTAATTGTAATAGTTGAGTCGGTTAGATACGGGATTTATGGATTAGCGATCATAGAAAGGAATGTCAAGGGAGTGAAAAGCACAGTTGAGGGTCGATGTAATTCATGATGGTCTTAGAAGTTGAGTCGACGCGAAAGATACAAACGAAGCGAAGTGAAGTGAAGTCATAAGATCGATGAACAAACCCAATATGATCAATATATAAATTAATATCATGCGGCATGAATACATACATTTTAATATTTGATAGTGCTGATTTAGCTAGTAAATTATATATATCTTTTTCAGAATTAATATTTTGGACTAAAGAAACTAATCAAATAATACCAAATAAGTTAATTAGCATATTGACGAGTCAAACCTCTAAATGAGGTTAAATCCCTTAGGGGGTGATTGTTTATGAATTTAACTAGTTTTTTATTTAGTTTGTTTTTTAACTATAGTTAATTTTGAAAAATATTGTATGGTTAGTTGTTAGTAGATATATTAAAATAATACTTAAATAAAATAATTAAAGTTGAGTTGATGTAAAGTAGGAAAAAAATGATTAGAAGTGATGGTTAGTTAAACTTATGTGAGTGGATGAATAGTAAATTAAAGTTGATGTGATGGGTAAAAATGATATGTTGATATTATTTAGTTATATTGATAATATAGGTGATAATAGTGGAGTTGGGTTAAAGTTTAGTCAAATTTGAGTTTTGATTGGTACCCACTTTCACTAACATCCGATCATGGTCAAAATAATTACCAACAAAATATAAAATGGAGGAATAGGGTATTTACAACAGTAATTAATGATATGGAGCCAATTGTTGGCTCCGTTACGGAGCCAACAACCAATGGGACAGTTCCATGTGGGGCTGTCCCACATGCCTCCAATGTGGGACAGTCCCACATAGAGCTGTCTCATTGGCTGTTGGCTCCATAACGGAGCCAACAGTTGACTCCTTAGCATTATTGGTATTTACAAAGATAATTTTAATTATAAAAGAAAATTATTACATTTTATTTTATACGTACCCATAGTGCCAGAGGCGTCGCCTCCACCATAGAAGGTTGCATGGGCGGATTGCCATGAACTGCCGGAGTAAGTGCCGGCGATCTTGGCGTCGGCCGGCGGCGAGAGGCAGAGGATGGCGGCGATGAACGGAAAAATATTCAGTAAAGCTGCCATTTTCTTGGTTTATAGTTTTTCACTCTCTCTCTCTCCGAGTGTGTTTAGAAAGAGAAAATGTGGTGGGTTTTGGAGGGGTTTTGAGGGGGAAATGTGAGGGAAAGGAGACAGAGGTGTGGGAGGCTATTTATGGTGGATGAGAGGAAGCCCAAAATAGAACCTTTTTTTTTCTATTTTTTTTTTAGTGTAAGATTTACATGAGGCAAAAATTAGTATTGGAATTTTTTAAGAAAGTGGGAAAAATAATGTGAGGTGCCCATATTAGTTTTACTTTTGTTTAATGTTTTGTTTAGAGTAACAAGTATATAATATATTTCTGTTGAAAATTATGATTGAATAATCGTTAAGTCTGCTTAATAGTAGGTTAATAATCAATAAAATGATCTTTACATACAACTGAAATGTTATACTATACAAAACAACATAAATGACATTTGATAATATAATTATTATTTTTATTATTATTTTAAAATTTTATAACTAGTCGATCTGTTTAACCGCTAATTATACGACACATGCAATATTTTCCACATGAAAACTAGCAGGAAAATCAAGTTGCTTAAATTAAGAATCAATCATTCTGTATGCTTTGAACAACGGTAATTTATGTGACACTATGATTTGGTTGTAAACATTAAAACGATAGGATGGTCTATGACTCGTCACAAGTATTATGAATGGTAAAATGATACGTAAAATATTCCTTAAAACTATTGTTATATCAGTTCACTGATGACTGGACAAGAAAGTTGCATAGAACTTTTGTTAATTTTTTATTTACTTAGCAATAAGATTAATGTTTAAAATTTAATTAATCTAGTTTGGAATTTTTTAGAATTGATTAATTTAGCAAACTACAATGTCCATAATCGAAGGAACTCTTTGATCATTGGATTTTCATGAAATTCAACAGGAGTGAAATCCTTTGAAATCATTGGGCTAATCCTTTCGGATCCGATGAACATTCTTATTGGTCGTCTAGGCGTGATACTTGACCCGTGATTATTCCATTTTCTACGGACTATTGTCGATTTTGTTTTATTAATTAGTTATCGACTAATCCACTTTGCACTTTCCAAGAGTTGGTTATTCCATTGTCCAGTAAATTTAAGAATAGACCAATAGGGATAAAAAATAATATTTATTTACATTTGTAAAATATTGATAGTTTTTATGTTTTTCTTATTAGTATTATATTTATTTATATTTTTTACCTATTATTTTTCTACTGAATCAAATTTTTACTTTTTTTTACTACATTAAATTATAAAATAGTTGATTTTAATGGAAAATGCTACAATCCCGTTATGGAACCATTCCGTTGGATTTGTAACCGTTAGATCAACTATCATTGACGGTTACTTGATGATCTAACGGTTACAAATCCCAACGGAATGGTACCGTAACGGGATTGTAGCCTATACCCATAAATCTCAAAAGTTTCGCGATTGGAATGAGTATGTAAGGTTGACTTATGTCATTTGGTGTCGGGTACGATGAATGGACACGAGTCAACATCGTGATGGATTTTTCAGTCGCAAATTTTGATTAGAAAATTACATATTAATTTAACTCACAGTTTTTTTTTTTTTAAAAAAAAAATAAATAATAATAATTATGAATAATTGAGACAATTAATGATTTTTTCTCAGCCTTTCATTTATACTATATATATAGATATTAGAGTACTTGATGTAAGAAGGTTTTTATCATTCATTCAACTGAAGTTAGATATTAGAGTACTTCATTTATACTATATATATAGATATTAGAGTACTTATCTTTGAGCAATGAACCTGATTTTCAGATCTTGTTTTTTCTTCATGTTTTCCATGAAATTCTTTCACAACTGACATTTTTCAAAGAATTACCAACACGAACGAACAACTTTTCTAACAGATTAGCTACAGAGTACTTTTATTTTATAAAATTTATTGTGCGTGCCTACATATAAAATTAGTGTTTTATATTTTACATTTATTTATATTATGTAGAATGCTTTTCAGTTGCACTTTCAATATATATAGTTGAAATTAAATTTATATGCAATCTAATATTAGACAGAGTATTTCTTTATAATAAACACTAGTACAAATAGACGGAATATTTATTTATAATAAACACTAGTACGACACTCGTGTACTACATGGGTGCATAAAAAAAATTTAAAAAAAAATGTAAAAGAGTTTAGTTATTGTATGTATATATAAAATAAATAAATGAAAGTTTCATAAAATAAAAATTACTGTACGTTGGTATTTTATTTCAAATTTTTAAAAGTTTATTTGTGCAGAACATTATAAGTTCTACTGTCACAATATCATGCTTTATCTTTAGGTTCAGATAAAAAATTTGAAAACAAAATTGGCTTGGAAAGTGCCATAAATAATTTTTTCACCATACATTATTGTCTCTCTTCAATCTCTTTTGCATTACCAAATTTATCTTGAATTTAAAGATCACACTATCTTTTGAAATGTTTTCTATTTTCTATATTCAAGAGGTACATTTAATTTATTTTACTAAAAAATGTGGATAAAGAGAGCTATGGAATTATATGGTGTTTTAATGAATTAATCCTTTTTTCTTTTTTTCTTAATTAGAATACTCATTTGGTTTTAGCCCATTTTTGAGCATGTCTTTTTGTTTGCATAATGATGAATTAAAATTATATATTATAATTATATCGATAATATAATCAATGAAATCTTAACTAAACACGTTTCTTATCTAGAAAATGTTCACCAATCCACTTTGTATGATATGTTAATCTCGTGTCAGGTGAACATATTAACTCATGTCCACCGTGTACAGGAGAGCAAGACAAATACAAATGAAACCCATGTATAATATTTTAACAAATAAAATATGAGATGAAAATTTCACAATGGAATATATGCTATGGGAAGTCTAAAGGGTAACAAGGCACAAGACCCAAATTTTAACCCACAAAACATTTGTTTCACAAATTTACAAAGAATAATCAGAGTGTACAATAGGCTGATAAGAGCTTATCAAAGCCAAAAGCTGTAATGACAAATGTTTCTACATATGTGTATACACAAGAATCGGTTGAGTCGTACAAAACCATATGCAACACAGATATGTTCATCACCGGCATAACCGAGCACACAATCCCTGAATTTGATTCTCGTTCAGATTGAAAAGTGAATACGTTTGGTTCCTACCGTTGTTTGAGCACGTCAAAGTATATTGTCCCCCTGTCTGCACAGCCTGCAATAATTTTTCTTTTTCTTTTTAATTTATTCATCATATTCATAACAAAACATAGGTGGAAATGTAAATGTGACTTATGGATTATGTGATACAACTCTAAATTTGAAGCACTAATGGAACTTATGGGGATATACTTGGGCCATGGGTTACATTAGGCTAAATTGCATTTTTAGTCATGCTGGTTTAACGCCATAGCAATTTTAGTCACAATATTTTAACATTTCGCCTTTTGAACTTGTGATATAATATTTTGCTGCAATTCCAATCCTTTTGAGGAGTGAAATTGTAACAAATTCCTAAATTTATAGATTTGTTATTATCAATTTAAGTCCAATAATTTAAAATTTTATTGCAATTTCAGCCTTGTAATATAAAATTTTGTTCCAATTTTAGTCCTAATAACAACAAAGTATTATATCACAGGACCAAAAGGCAAAAAGTTGGATCTTGAAGCTAAAATTGCTATGACGTTAAATCAACAAGACTAAAAATGCAATTTTTCCGTTACATTACTTCATGTGACTGAGTAATAAGAAATTTTTTATTTATTTTTTATATTTTAGGAGCTAGCATGAAAATGAGTAAGTTTGATGTAGAAAATATTGCACCTGACACGAAACAGGTTGTGTGTTGCAGCTCCATCTTGAAGTCGGGACGCAACTTAGGTAATGGCACCATGAACAATGATCGTTCAAATCCACCCCCCGAAGTAGCAAGATCATCCCAACCGTGAACCTAAATCGAAAATCAAGTTGAAAATTGAAGAAAGTGATAATTTAGTTACGAAGATCAAAATCGAAGAAAGTGATAACTAGAGCCCTCACAAAACATTGGTCTCTAGCAAATCGCGCCGTTTAATGGTGGGCAAGCTTTACATAACTTATCTGAGGTCGTAATTAAAAGAGTCCCTCAAATGTTAATTTGACTTAATTTTGTAAAGGCAAAAATGCATTTTTAGTCATACCATAGCAATTTTAATCCCAGGTTCCAACTTTTCGCATGATTTAATATTTTGCTGCAATTTTAATCTTCTGAGTACTAAAATTGCCACAAAATTTTAAATTATAGGACTGAAATTGCAACAAAATTTAAATAACAAAATTTTAAATGTTAGAATTTTGAGACTAAAATTGCTATGGCGTTAAACCGGGAGGACTAAAAATGTAATTTAGCTAAATGAACCGCTCAAGGGCGTCTATTGTAATTAGTCCCAAACACCAGAGAAGTAGCTCGTGAATAACTAACTGCTAAAGGCAAAAAACAATAGAAATGGTCATCAAGGTAATTTAAGCTCACCCGGCAACCAGAAGAATCAAAGAAAGCAGCCAGAGCACGCGTTGGTAGGCCTTGAATTTGGGCTTACCAGAAATCGTGGTATACCCAGCAAGGGCATGCCTCTGGTTGGCCCATCCAAACTGCGGGCGGATCAAAAAAACGAAGCCCAAAAGGAAGCCCGACAAAAACCCACCAATATGAGCAAAGTTGTCCACATGTGGAAGTATTCCCACAGCCAAGTTGATAGCTATTATTATCACGAGTGTGAATAAAGCAGCTACCTGAAAAAAGATATATGCAGTCAAATTGGAAAGTGTGACATGTGAAAACCCGGTTTGATATATATATATATATATATATATATATATATATATATAGAGAGAGAGAGAGAGAGAGAGAGAGAGAGAATGATAGATAGCTTAGATTTACCTTGTTAGCATATATGGACCAATTAGTTATCAACTCGGATAGCATGCCTCCTAATAAGCCGAAAAGGGCGCCAGAGGCACCAACTGATATGTTTGATTGAATGAAAAGAGCCGAAAATAAACTTCCGCCAAATCCAGAAATGAGATAGAGCAAGCCGACACGTACTGTAGAACAATTCGAAGTCATATTGGTGAGTACCAAAATCAGAATTATAAATTAAGAGGGAAAAAAAGATGGGGAACTTTTTTAAGAAAAATATATAGAGTGTTGCATTTGATGGTTGAATTTCATATAAATCTCACTCTTGAGTCGTGGCCGCCATATATTATACACAAAAGGACAGTCAAGTTTTCAACGCTAATATGAGCGCGCGTAAAATACAAAAATATCATCAATCATTATAGGTAAATAAGCAAGACATTTTCTCGGCTTGTGAACATAATGCGCGTCATCCGGTAGAAAAAGCCAATTAAGCTGTTATGTAAGATGAGGACAATCTAACCATTCCATGATTAAATATTAAATAGAGTCAATGAGCTACATTACGAAATGGGACGAGTGGCAAAACGTACCAAATCCAAACTCTTGTTCGAGCCGAATGCCGATGATAATCAAGCTCAGCATATTCGCGAGTAAGTGAAACACTCCGCCATGTAACCACATACAGGTGATGAGCCGCCATCCTTCGTGTCGAACAACAACTCTACTCACATCCAAAGCTCCCATTTTCTCAAGCCTAAAGATGAAACGAATTCCAAATAGCATTGACTCACATATCGTTCCAAAAATGGATGAATACTGCCAAATTAGGACACTCACCGAATAAGTAAACATTCAAATAGCAGCCCATCTCTCATATTTTGAACTAACATCAAACATGATACTACTTTTTTTCATAACAATCACCAAGATTATCACACCTAAAACAAAAAAGCAATTGACAAGGCCAAAACACAGCAGTACTGATAAAAATTGTCACTAAACAATCAAACAGATGATAACATAGTTAATTTTTTTTTAAAAAAAAAAATTGGAACAAGAAAATCAGATAGAAATTAACATCATAAAAGTCAATAGGATGAAAAGCCCAAAAATACAAAAAGAAAGGGGCTTACGTCAAAGATGAAGGCCCGAGCAGAGGATTTTCCCCAAAGGGCTGAAAAGACAGCCTCCCTAAGAATCTAGCGACGCACGAGACAGAATTTTTCGGACAATTGTTCACATACATAGTAATCACAAACATAACCACGTTGGCCACCACGAAGGCGGGTAACAGCCAGGGGAACCACTTCTCGGAAGGCTTGGCCTCTCTGTACACAACCCCGCCGGGGCTCGCGACGGCGGACGGCGGAGATACGTGGTGTACGGTGTTTCCGCCGCTCCGAGAGTGGACCGGCAATCGGGCGTCGTCCGGCGCGGCGGCGGCGGCCATCGGAGGTGCAAGGATGACGGAGGAAAAAGATTGCTTTTTTATGCGTTTGAGGTTATCAGAGAAAAAAGGGCGAGCTGAATAATGGTTTTGGAGAGAAGGGTTTGGTTGGGGTAGTTGAAGAAAGAGGGGATTAGGTCAACATGGAGGAGGTCGGTGTGAAACCATGGCGGAGCAGAGATTTTTCGTATTTCTTGCTTTATTTTTCTTTTTTTAATTCTTGTTTCTGTGCTTACTTTTCTTCGGCTGACTTTCAAGAAGGAAAGAGAAGTGAAAAGAGAGAAGAAGAAAAAAAAGAGGGTTAATTTTGGATTTGTTTGGATTTTTTTGGTTTGGTTTGGTTAATTTTGAAAAAGGTGGTATGGTTAGTTGTTAGTGATATATTAAAATAATATTAAAAATAAAATAATTAAAATTGATTTAATGTAAAAGTATGAGAAAAATGATTTGAAGTGATGTTAGTTAAAATTATGTGAGAGGATGAATAGTTAATTAAGGTTGATGTAATGTGTAAGAATGATTGGTTGATACTATTTAATTATATTAATAATATTAATATTAGTTGGGTTGAGTTAAAAAAGTGGTTGAGTTAAAAGTGTTTGGATTTTTTGGATAAATTTTGTATCCAAGCATTATCGTTTCCCCTCAAAATTTAGGTGTCAGATCAGGAGTGTAGGAGTGTCTGATTTGATGGTTAAATTCGGTGGAGGAGGTACAAGAAGAGATGTGAAAGTGAAAAGAAACATGCTACTCATGAGTCCTATCACATTCGTTTGATAAACGAATTGAATTTGAACTCATTTAAAAACTTGTTAGTTAACGAGTTTGATTTCACTATAGAAAACTTAAAGAGTATTTTTAAAATTGTCTATTCATTAAGTTACGGGACTGAATTGTTAACGTTGATAAACAAACCAAACAATCAACTCATTTAGTTAACGAAACTAACTTGATTTAGTTCGTTCAGAGCTCGAGATCAAGCTTAGCTCGACTCTTTACACCCCTAGGCACTACCCACAGGGTAGAATCGAACCTTTTCATGTTTCGTGTATACATCTTGCCAAATTGAAGTATGAATCGTTGGATTAATATACACCCGTTTTATCATGTATGATATGACAACTCATAACTTAATTATGATATTATTTACGTGTGACCTTCCCAGTTTTCTTTCATTCTTGCTCAACCGTTATTGTTTTGGTCTTCTCCACTTTAAAATTTTGCCCGTTCACGTATTGTTGTATGATGATGGTGGCGTGTAATTACAGAAATTGGGGCAAGTGGTATGGAGTTGACTTTTAAAGCCCAATAGCACAAATTTGAGGCCCATATCTATTTTATGATCGGGCTTCATGGAGTGGTCTTGACTTATTTGAGTAACATAAGACGAGCAGGGTAGGGATGGTTTATAACTTAGTTGGGTCCGGTCAGCCCATTTTACCGCCAAGATGTGCCCTAAATGGTCTTGGAATATATTTTTGCATATTATCCACGTTATTACTATTATTTTTTTTCCAAAAAAATAAATAATTTCATTCAACCATTATGGCGGATTGACACTTAGTCCAGCCTGGGTAAACACCTAGACTGGATTTTTACTAATGTAGTTATGATTTCTAAATAAATATTTATGAGGAAAAAACAAAATTGGAGAACTTGCGAGACATAATAAAAATAAATTTATTTATTTTTTTAACTGTCTGTATAAAATAAAGTCGAACATTATTTCTATGTTCTCTTCTATAATTAAATTTATTGAAATGATAATCGAGGATGCTATTGCTGATCAAAGAGGACAATGTAATTTGTTGCTTGCGCAGATACAATTCTTTGATTTCATATTTTGTCTTCTTCTAATGAGATAAATTTTAGACTTAACGAATGAGTTATCACTAGATTATAAAAGGATGATCAAGATATTGTCAATGCTATGGATTTGGTCAGGGCAAGTAAGACCGTGCTTGTTTATAAAAAACTAGAAAAAAATTTGGCTTCTTTTTTTGTGTTAACTAGAGTTTATTTGAATAAAGTTAATATGATTAGTTGTTCGTTATAATTTATGAATTTATTACAATAATATTTAAAATAAAATGCTTAAAATTGATTTGATTTAAAAGTAGGAGATATATGATTGAAAATGATAGTAGTTAAAACTTTGTGAGTGGATGAATAGTGAATTAAAGTTGATGTAATGTGTAAGAATAATAGTTGAATGATATTATCTAATTATATTAATAATATTGATGATAGTGAAATTGAGTTAAAGTCGAGTTAGATTTTGAATTGAGATAAATTTTTTTCTTGTTTCAAGAAATTTGATAAACAAGTACGACCGAAACAACTCCAAAAAATGAGAGAAGAAGAATGTCAATGGGATTTTTTTTGCAAAAGATAAATTCGTATGTAATAAACACGACTTAAAAAATTTCGAGTACTTTTATTTTATAGTGCCTTGGCTGATAAAATTTTTTGTATCCGCAGCAACTGACCAGGCCAATCCCGCTATACTACCCAAGTTCCTTTACATAATTGGATTACAAAATGACATGGCATTAATATTATAAAAATAAAAATTTATAAACAAAAACTTTAATGAAGCAATTCATTTTTCCCAAATTGAAACCGTCATTTTCCCCAACCCTTATCTCTTCAACCTACAAATCTGCCGATTCTTTAAGAGAAAAAAGTGAATGGCGACCATTTTCTTCGGACAACACCGGCACGAAGAACCTCTACATCATGTCGTTGAAGCGGATCAAAGGGTCGCCTCAACACGATCAAGGAGATTTAGGTATTGAAGCTCACTCATCTGGCCTAGCCGGGATGGAATAGCGTATTGTTGACGAGATTGAGTATATGGAGACTCGATACTCGTCCGGGGGATGGGGCCCACCAGCTCCGGGGTTATGGGCCTGGTGAGGCTACACGAGGCCAGGCCCAAGGAAGCTGGGAAAGGTTGGTGCCGTGGGCCTGTGAGGTGGTTGGAGAAAGGCGGTGCTCTTGTGTGATTTCATCTCTTAAGATAAGAGGTGGTATTGTAATTTGTGGCTATCAATGTGGTTATGGACAATGTGTATGTAGAATTTGTACTTGGAAATGATTTGCCTCTAGTCAGAAAGCAAATATATTTCTTTGTTCTATATGCGATTGCGATGCATAAGGTGATTGTTATGAAGGTTTTGTTATTATTTGCACATATTGATGCGAGACTTGCCTGTATAGACAATTGGTGTTCTTTTCTTCACGACATGATCTGTTAAAATCTGAGTACATTCATTGGGTGGGTGGACAAGTGTAATACACTAATGAATTTTGTTAAGTTCAACTCTCTTGATAGGTTAAGTTCACGAGTTAAGTTTGCAAGTGCTATTATAAGCTAAAACCAAGTTTACACTCAGCTGGCATGAACAAAATGATCTTTTGTACAGACCAACATTTCCAATGAGACGTGTTTTTCAAGTGGCTTTGGCCAATTGGCGGGATATGATTATAACTAACAATACATAAATTCAAAAATATTCAAAGACCTCATATTCTATACATTCAATCACACCTGCTAAAAAAGAGGGGCCAAGGGAGGCATTACAAGACAAGTATAAATGAACTGAAAGAAACATATGGAGTTCTCAGTACATACTACATAGTACATACAAACGACGAACAATTCACAATTCTAAAAGAGTTTCAAAGTCAAATCACTAGGACCCTTTTCACAGTAGATCGAGAAAGCTTCGTTCAGACGGGCCGCACGGCTCATAACTTGTGATATCCTCTTGCAAAACAAAAATTGAGCAATGAAGAAAACCGATGTATATTTAAATCAATTTCCAATGGAACACTCCGAATTAGTTGAAGAATAAGTATACAAAAATTAGAAATCTATATTACAATCTAAAATTATCAAAATCATAGGGGAAAAGTCATTGAGTTAAAAAAAAAAATCATTTCATCTTAATTTTCTCTCTGTGTCTTTCGTAAAGATCTAATTTTCATTGAGAACTCTGAAAAAACTCCAACTTGAGCTAAAAAAATGTATACATTTATAACTACCTTTCACTGACCAAACTCACTCACAGAATCCGTCAGGGGAAACTGAATAAAGATCGATAAAGTGAAATAAACCAGGAGTACAAAGGCCAAAAGAGAAGAAGATTAATAAATGTAAACACATACTTCCAAAGGCATCGGGAACAAATTTATACTACAGCTGGAATCAAAAGTGAAATAACTGCAGAAGACTAAATAACCCAAACCAGAAGAGTCTAGGAACATGAGATATCTCTTAGCAACATTACACGTGAATGTGACATATGGTAGAACTCCATCATCATCCCTCCCCGAACTTCTTTTTCTCACAGGAAAACCCGCGGCATACGCGTATCACATATAATATAAAAGTCATAAACTTCCTTTTGACTGGGAAACTGCATTCCAACCTCAGGAATGATAAAGGAATCATCCATTCCAGTTTTATTATCCCGGACATTTGCACTTTCATCAAGATTTGCATTTTCTAAGTTCACAATCAAAAAAATAATCCGTGCTTCAGTTCTCCTAGTGATATACAAAAAATTCGTTCATTACTTGTGAAAAAATTGTAATACAATAATGGGGTCTGTAAAAAAAAAAAAAATACTAAAATAAGATTTACCTGAATATGTAGAGACAAAATTTCCATCTTCCAGTGTGATAACAAGAACAAGAAAGGAGATCAAGAAGACTTATAAACAAAAATATTTATTTTAAATATATCCTTGAGAAATATGGTTCAATTGTGGCAGGAACTGAAGATGTGTCAGGAACATAAATTAGGGTAGGGACAAAATTTTAAATCTTAGCCGTTAATTTATAATTAATCTCATATGTACAACTCTAGACAAACCAATTATAGTAAGAATTGCAAATAATAAAACAATAAGTATTGATTATAGGCAACAGATTTAGTATTGTTAATAGAAGAAAAACGATTTCCTTTACCTAGTCTTTATAAACAAAATACAGGTTTACCATTAATAATTGGAAATAACTTTCTTAAGTTATACAATCCATTTATTCAAAGATTAAATAGTATAAGCCTTAGATGTCCACAACTGGATACCCAGTCCAGTAAAATAATTACTACAAAAATATATAATACGTCTTCTTTCATACGGGGGGAAATATTAAGAAAAGTTTCATTTCAAATTTATAAAGTAATAAACATAACTTTAGAAGAACATGTTAATCACTTATTAGAAAAAATATGTAGTCAAGATCCATTAGATCCAAATAAAAATACGAATAATATGATAGTAA